GCCAGCAATGCTGTGGGGAGTACAGTGTCCAGGGACTGTCATCTCTCCAGGCTGTTCCCCACGCAAACTACACACAGCAGCCAGCAAAGTGTGTCTGTGGGATGGGGGCGGGGACCAATATGTGGGGGTCAGCCTTCCAGGTGCCACCGGAGCTCTACTATGTTTTACAGTTGAACAAAGTGGAAGCCCAGAGGCCCCAGAAAGGTCAACAACAGCAATCCTGGCAGAGGAATCACTGAGTCAGAGCGCGCCCTCTTGGATGTGTGACAGGGCAGCCCTAAGGGGAAGACACACGTGACGAGGGAGGTGGGGCAGGAGGGGCGTGGAGCTAGGCTCACCCGCTCACAAACAAACAGACAGGGACACAGCTGTAGAACACCCCAGACATTATGAATACCACCTTCTGAAGAATCCCAGTGAACTGAGTCGCCAAATCCCTCTGTCTGGGAAGGCACCTGCACCTTTGTGAGCTGTTTTCGGGGAACACAGATGCTGAACACAAACATGTGCAGGGCTGGCTGTGCTGGCCTGTGGGGCCCTGGCAGGGCCTGCAGTTCCACATCCTTTTGCCAGAGAACCCCTCTGACATGCTTGCCATAGCCACCCAGATGACATGTACTGATCTTGTGAGGAAGTGATCTGCAACTGCTCCGTCCTGCAAGGCAACGGGTCCCTCCCTTGGTGGCTTGGCCAGCTGATGCACAGACCACAGTGAGGCAGCTGCCAGGCACCCCAACCTGCCTGGGGAGGGGGGGGCTCCCTGGCAAAGGAGTGGGCGAACAGCTGGGTACAGGGCTGCCAGTGTTCTTCCTCCCTTCATAGGCAGCACAGATGGGTACACCTCCCTGGGCGTATGCCCCATTGCATGACATGGGGCATGGTGCTGGGTAGGTCTGACTCAGGTTGCCCCTATATGCACACTCCTCAGGCTTCACTTGTGGGAGCCACCATTGCTGGGGCAGCAGCCAGGCTCATGTAAGTGGAATGAAGGAGGCAGGTGTGGACTACTGGTTTGGGGCAGCTGGATTCGCACCCTTGCTCACCTGTCAGTGTGTGGTTGCCCCTTCAGACTGAGCCTCCAGAGATGGGATACCTGTTAGAGTTCTGAAATGAGACCTGTTAGCCATGTTGCTTGGACTTGGTCTCCCCCTTCGACGATAGTACTACGTGCTCCCGCAGTGGGCTCAGTGCCCTCTTTGTGCTTTTCCCACCACCCAAGTGCAACCCTATGCACTCTGAGTGTGCACAGCAGAGACCTCTGGGACAGAAAGAATCCTACCATAGAATCATAGAACCACAGAGTTGCCACACACTCTGCCTACTGAACCACCGGGCATCCTGGTTGAGGGTTTCATAGTGCTGGGAGGGTTGTGAATGGGTACATGGGAAGGGGTTGGCTGCCACTGGGGAGGGGGTGATTGGCTGTAGCTGTAGTCAACATCCTGTGCTCTTACAGGGCTTTTAGGCAGGGGTGTTCAGGGGGGTCAGCATATTCCATCGCATGGGCACCTATGGGCTACGCCATAGTCGGGGTGCAGGGCCACCTGGGGACACTCTGCCAGTGTGTATCTCAGAGATACCTCAGCATAGCCCCTAGTTGGCTCCCTGTGCACTTTCAGACCCCTGCTGACAATCACTGTCTCAGGTGAATTGGGCAATGCATGGATCTTCCATGTAGGTACAGCTTCCATTCAAGTGAACCTGCTTCCATTGCACATGAAATATCCACGAATCCCCCATTTCACACAAGACAGCAGCCATGCATATTGCACTTCCGATACATGCATCTAACAGGCTGGTTTGCATGAAAGGAACAGAACAGAACATCTGAAAAGGGCTACTTATAAGTAGCATTCTCCTCTGTCAGATGAGACTCAAAATGGCTTTCAAATTCAAATAAAACATACATAAAAACCTTAATACAAACAGTCAGAATTTCAATATTAAGTAAATTACTATAGCAATTTAAAACATACCCAGTTACCTAGCAGGAAATGTCTTCTGAAAAGACCAAATGTTTTCTTCATTATGGAAGACCATCGTTACATGTAATTTCCCTCAGGGGAAACAGCAGCTCCCCAGAGCCATTTCAGGATAGGGATGTGCATCTGAGTATCGCTGAGCCAAAAATATAACTGAAAAATACATTATTGGTATTTTCAGGATATATTGGGCTCCTCCAAATATATCGAGCATTTTTTGGTTTACTGAGAAAATGGGTCCCAAAAAATCCCAGAAATATTCAGGATTAACCGGGAGCATTGGGAGCCAGTGTTTGCAGGTCCCAGGATGGTTTTTACTTTTTTTCTTGTCTTCCCCTGCGTTTCAGTATCTCCTGGGCTTGGTATTAGCTTTCCAGGCTGCTTTAGGTAAGATTCTGTCACATTCAAGTGTTTTTCTTTTTTAAAAAAGTTTGTTCTTTGCTGGAGTTGGATTGTCTCATCGTCATGTTTTTTGTGAATTCTCACATTTGAGATTCTCGTATTTTACATAGGTTGATATGTTTGCATTTTACATACTTTGAGATCCTCAGATTTTACTAGAGTTGCCAACCTCCAGATGGTACTTGGAGATCTCCCGCTATTACTCCAGGCAATCAAGATCAGTTCCCCTGGAGAAATTGGCTGCTTTGGAGTGTGGATTATATGGCATTATACCCTGCTGAGGCCTCTCCCCTCCCCAAACCCCACTTTCCCTAAGATCCACCCCCAAAATCTCCAGGTATTTCCCAACCCAGAGCTGGCAACCCTAGATTTTACATAGTTTCTGATTCTTGGGTGTTACATGTTTTTAGATTCTCAGGTGTTGCATAGTTTCATATTCTTGGGTTTTAAATTGGTTGGGCTTAGCAATAGCATCAATAGCATTCCTATGGGAAGATTCTTGGGTTTTACATTTTTCACTTTTTTTTCCTCCATAGGAAACAATGGAAGATGCTGGGGACACCTTGTTCATAGAATTGGACCCCTTGGTCCCTTGGTCCAATTCACTTGAAATTTGGAGGTTATTCAATGGACAGGCACTAGAAGCTCCCCTGCAATTTTGGTTTAAGTATCCCCCAGCCCTCTGGAAAAATTCCCCAAGTGAATAATGGAGCTGAGAAATATTGGAAACCTGAAAAAATCCCAGATCTGAATACCATACTGGTATTCGGAACCTTGAAAACCAGGAACACTGATATTTTCCAGCTCCAATATATCCAGTTCTGGAAAATACTGATTTTTGTTGTAGTGGGGAGAAGGCTGAAGATGCATTCCATGGTCACAATCAGAACTGGGCTTAGGTTTGCCAACTCCTGGAGATCTGGTTATGGAACCTGGGCAGGGCAGAGTTTGAAGAGGAGAGGGAGCTCAGTGGAGAGACGTGATGCCATAGAGTTTGCCCACTGAAGCTGCCATTTCTCCCCATGGGGACTGAGCTTTGTAGTCTGACCATCAGCTGTTATTCTGGGAGAACTCCAGGCCCCTTGAAGTTGGTAACCCTAATCAGGCCTGTGTGTGTCTGGGAGAAACAGAACTCCCATCTAGGGTTGCCAACCTCCAGGTGGAGCCTGAAGATCTCCAGAATTCAACAGAGATTCTGCACTGGAGAGTGGACTCTGTGGCATTATATCCTGCTAAGGTCCCTCCCCAAACTCTGCCCTGCTCAGGCTTTGCTCCTCAGTCTCTAGGAATTTTCCAACCTGTTCTTGGCAACTCTACTCCCATCACATGTTGGAAGCCACGAGGATTTGTATTATATGAATTGGCCTGGAAACAAAGCTGGCCTAGGCTGATTCTGCTCAGCAGTAAATCTGTCAAAGGTGCTTCAAACGCTACATTTTGTACTAGGGTATTTAGGAGACAAAATGCAAGTAAATGGGAGAGTGGAAAGGACTGGTTCCCCAATGCCATGTAGTGTGCTGAGAAAATGGGATGTTTAAATATTCACATGCCATTTTCAGGCAATGTGTGTATTTTGCACTTGAGTCCATCCACTAATGCATTACCGTGAAGTGAGAAAAGGTCCCCTTACTAACATTCTAAAAGCTGCTGTCAGTTCTGTTTATAATAAACAAAGAGAAGCCACGGGATACTGAACTGTTTACACATCGCTGCCATCTCTAAGCACTGACCAATGACACTTTTAGTCCAGCAGTCTGTTTTATAGGGGTGGATTATACCAGAAGCAAGGGGAAGGATCTCCCATACCGTGAATTATATTATGTCTCATTTTCAACTAGTATTCAGTTTAGGCACTTTCAATTTATGCTTGATTCTAGCTAGAGTTCATCTTGCTTTGGAAAAGACAGATATTAGAAATGTATGCCACAATGATGACAGTAAATCTCTCCAATGTTCATTTTCTCAGATGCTACTCTCACCTACTTTTTTCAGCACCTTCTATAATTTGGCACTCTGTTGTGTGAAACATTAATACTGCCACTCTGTGCGGATTGTTTAGAACGGAGTAACTCTGCATATGATTGCACTATAAGGGACATATCAGGTCACTGGTCTGCAGATTGGTAAAGTATGCAGAATGCCTACTGTAATGGAGCACGTTAAAGTGCAAATCATAAGGTATGACAGTTCAGCCTGTCTGAACAGGAGCTTTTCTGTCCCAACCACAGTCTCTTGATTTTTTTAAAATGTCGAACTTGACTGAATCCTGCAAATGGTTGCAATTTTCATAAGGAAATACATGTTTTTATTTGTGGACTATTAAAATTGTGCTATTTGTGGGCCGCTCCATGTGCCCCCCCCCCAAAACTGACTTTCATGATATAGTGAACAGAAACAGGAGAGAAACTATTACAGAAATTACCTCATGGCCAGACCAATTTCAAGCTTCTAATAGAGTAAGGAGAAAGAAATCACATCACACATTGAAAATTGACCTGCTGTGAAATGAAGCACTCTGCTCACATATACTAATTATTTCCAACCCTCTGGCATGGCATAGCTTTCATCTCACTTAACAGAAGGGAAAAAAAACAAGAAAATTAAGCACATACTTACTGGGTTGTTTTTTGACTGGAATATTTTCTCATGGTAAAAGCCATCATTGCTTTAAATAGAAATTCTTCACTAGTATCCCAGGTATACTGTAAAGCAACAAATAATTGTTATGGACAGAATATTGGAGGACAACATTTTCTCTCTGGTAAATGAAGGAAATACTGTGCTGTTGATGTCATGGAAATGCACAGATGAATTTTTTCCTATACTTAAGATTTTTTTAAAAAACTGTTAGGATATATTTGGCAATGCACAAGGCTAAAAGTGGTCATTAATAACACATAATGTTTTGCATACAGGGTGGCTAGTTAGAATGTAAAAGAATAGTTTGAGTGTAAAAGAAAAAAAATAGTGAGTGCAACAGTGCATAATTGTATAGTGAGTGCAACAGTGCATAATTGTATAGTGAGTGCAACAGTGCATAATTGTATCTGAATCTATACTCTAGAAATAATCAAAGTATCCAAACACGTATTTTATCTTGTACTTAGTATGCATTAAATGGGTCCCAATACATTTTGGGGTATTTACTTCTTTGCAACATCAGATTTCAAAGGGTTTCTGGCAAGTGTCAAGGATCAGCAACGACCCTGGATATGTACCTTGTGCCCGTATTACTCCCATTTAATGGGGCAAAATGTGTTACAATCATCCAAAGCTGTGTGGACAATGTGTTGAACCATCTGCCTGCTGCAAAGGTTGGAGACATCACCCATCATCTAGATAGCTTGGTAGATAGTGTGTGTGAGGGGGGAGTCAGTGGTCCTGGTGCATGCTGGCACCAATGATGTGGGGAAGGATAGTTGTGAGGTTCTGGAAGCCAAATTTAGCCTGCTAGGTAGGAGACTAAAAGCCAGGAGCATCAAGGTAGCTTTCTCTGAAATGCTGCCTGTTCCACATGCAGGGCCAGCTAGACTGGCACAGTTGGGGAGTCTTAATGTGTGGATGAAATGATGGTGTAGAGAGGTGGGCTATAGATTTATTAGGCATTTTGGTACAAGCTGGACCTGCACAAAAGGGATGGGATCCATTTGAACCAGAATTGAACCAGACTGCTGGCACATAACATAAAAAGATGGCAGAGCAGCCTTTTATACTGGACCCAGGAGGTGGGGGGAGCTAACAGGAGATGAGACACATCCTGCTTGGGCAGATTTGTCCTAGAGGGATGAAGGGAAAAACGCTTCCAACTGCACAAATGGGGAGTGGGCAAAAAAGGAAAGGGAGGATAAATTAAAGTAGAGTAGCCAGTCGAAGAAGCCAAAGGACCAGAGTGGAAAAGGCAGATGCCAGAAATGCTTAGAGGGAAACGCAATGTGGAGGTGTTTCCATGCAAATGCCAGAAGCTGGGGGGAGCTGGGGTGCTTGTTTTAAGGGGAAACATAGGTATAGTGAGCGTAACAGAAACCTGGGGGAAGGGAGAGAACCAGTGGGATATTGTCATCCCTGGATACAAACTGTATAGAAACGACAAGAGGTATTGCTATGTACGCTAAGGAGACGTCTAGCAAACTAGAAACTGTAAAAAGGGCTGACACCTCCACAGAACTGTCGTGGGTCACAATACCCAGCCCCAAAAGTAATTTGGTACTGGGGACATGCTATCGGCTCTCTGACCAAAATGCTCAGGGTGATCTTGAGGTGAAAAATGAAATTAGGGAGGCATCCCTAATGGAATAATGGGTGACTTTAAATACCCTCATATTGACTGGATAAATATGTGTTCTAGTCTTGCCAAAGAGATACAATTTCTAGATATCCCAAATAACTGTGCCCTAGAACAGCTGGTCATGGAACTAACCAGAGGGAGAGTGCCCCTGGACATGTTCATGTTTGACTTCAAAAGAGGAAACTTCTCTAAGATGAGAAATCTAGTCAAAAGACGTCTTCAAAAGAAAGACGTTGAAAGGAACAGTCAAGAGGGCCAACCCTCTGGAAAAGGTTTGGGGATTACTCAAAGTTTCAGTACTAGAGGCTCAGTTGGAATGTAAACCACAGGTCAGGAAACGTTGTACAACGTCTAAGAGGTCACCAGCATAGCTAACAAGCAGGGTAAGGGGAAATATTGGAGCAAAAAAGTCTTCCTTCAGAAACTGGAAGGCTGAGTTCAGAATGGCAGTTTCAAGCACGAGGGAGTCGTGGCAAAAAGATCCGGCACAAACTGTTCCGGGTTTTCCCGGTCACACCACACCGACTGATGTGGGAGCATACCCGGGAGGAGGCACAAGGGAGCGTTCGCACTGTTGGCATAAGCGCACAAGCAATTGCGGCTTTCGGCATTCACACTTCGTTGGTGCGGGATGAACGCAGGATGACCGCGCTCTCCAGGGTTTGCTACCACTTTCACCAGGTACTTTTTAAACTCGGGAGGCAAGCGCTACAAGACGGGCTGAGTACGGCTGGGGAATGCCTGACAGATGTGTCTGTGTGAACAGCCCCTTTAATCCATTTGTGAAACGTTTCTGGCACGTGCCTGTCTCAGGGCAAACTGCCAGTCTGAACTCAGCCGAAGTCTTACCGAAAGGAAGCAAACAAAAACCAACACAAACTTGCACACAGGAAATGCAAGCAGACAATCAGGGATGCAAAAAAAAAGGATTTTGAGGAATGTATCACTAAAAGCATAAAGACCAACAATGAAGAATTCTTTAAATACATTAGGAGCAGGAAACCAGCTAGGGAAGCTGTTGGACAATGGAATTAAAAGAGTACTTAAGGAAGATAAGGTGAGTACTGAGAAGCTATATGAATTCTTCCCATCTGTCTCCACTGCTGAAGAGGCAAGGCAAATACCTGTTCCTGAATGGATATGTACAGCTTAGGTGAACAGTGGTGACAAGGGAGGAAGTTCTAGAATGTATAGACAAAGTGCAAACTAACAAATCACCAGGACCAGATGGTATCCATCCTAGACTTCTTGTGAAACTGCTGATCTTCGGTCTAAGCCATGTAAGATGTCCCTTGTGTTATGTTCTTACATTCTTACCTGCTGTGGAAAATGTACCACACTGAGTCCCTTGCTGCCAACTTCTTTGCTGCCATCTGTCATCTTTACACATCCCCTGCTCCCTCCCCTGCCCAGGTGTGGCTCTTCAAACTCTACTCTGCCTCAGCTGGCAGAGAAGACACAGAGAGGTCACTGATCTCAGGTAGCTGACCTCAGGAGGCATCTTGTGAACTCTCCACTTGGAAGAGAAGTCTTTGTCCTAACACCTTCCTTCTCCCCCACAACATGCTTATGGATGGACTTGGTTGCTGTAACGTATACCTCTTAATTTCCCTACTCATACAATCAGTAATGTGTGGTCTAAACCTTACATCTTATCACAATGCAGGCACTGATGAAGGTCTACTCTGGACTCAGTGGTTAAAGGTGGTATAATGCTCAGCATTAAGCAGTTTTGAGCAAACAGCTGCTGAGTCAGGCCTCTCATTCATGGTGGTTCTTGTTGCTGTTGTTCAGTCGCACAGTCGAGTACGACTCTTCGCGACCCCATGGACCAGATCCCGCCACGCCTTCCTGTCTTCCGCTGTCCTCTGAAGTTGGCTCAAATTCATGTTCGTTGCATCTATGACACTGTCTAACCATCTCATCCTTTGCTGTCCCCGTCTTCTTTGACCTTCCAACTTTCCCAGCATCAGGGTCTTCTTCAGTGAGTGCTCCCTTCTCATTTGGTGGCCAAAGTATTTGAGCTTCAGTTTCATTATCTGGCCTTCCAGGGAACAGTCAGGGTTGATTTCTTTTAGGATTGACTGATTTGATCTTCTTGCAGTCCAAGGGACTCTCAATTGGTGGTTCTTACCCAAAGGTAAAAGGTATGTCTTCTAAGTTTAGATGGAAACTAGGGGTGTTTTCACAGCTTGTACCATGCTAATTCCCTTGCACTGTAGTAAGGTTGAAAACTAGGCCATTTAATGTGATTTACTTGTGCTGATATTTCTGCTTCGTGTAAAAGAACATCTTGTCATATATGATGAATGAAACCGATTGTGTTATCTCAATAAGTTAAACATGACATTTGATTACAAATGATAGGTATGCACATTTTCCTATGAAGAATAATATTTCTCCACAAATTGAGTGAGCGGGCGACAATGTGGCAAATGTTCGATGCTGGTAAGTGTAAGGTGATGCATATTGGGACAAACAACAGCAACAGCCGCCCCACTTCAAGTACAGGCTAATGGAGTCTGAACTTGCTGAGACTGAGATCCAGTGAAAGTGTCAGCCCAGTGTGCTGCAGCAGTGAAAAAGGCAAACTCTATGTTCAGGATTGTTAGGAAAGGGATTGAGAATAAAGCAGCCAATATTGTAATGACTCTGTACAGATCTATGGTGCGGCCTCATTTGTTATACTGTATCCAGTTCTGGTCACTGTATCTCAAAACGGACATTGCAGAGCTGGAAAAAGTTCAAAAGAGGGCAGCCAAGATGATTAGGGGGTCGGAGCACCTTTCCTACGAGGCAAAGATATGAATAAGGGAGGACGTGATAGAGGTTTATAAAATTATGCATGGCATGTAGAGACTTGACAAAGAGAAATTTTCCTTCCGCTCCCAAAATACTAGAACTTGAGGGAATCCAGTGAAGCTGATGGATAGTGGGTTCAGGATGGACAAAGGGAAATACTTCTTTACACAGAGACTGATTAAAAAGTGGAATTCGCTGCCAGACGATGTAATGATGGCCACAGAAATACACAACTTTAAAAGAGGATCGGTCCATCAGTGGCTACTAGCCATGATGACTGAAAGGAACCGCCATGCTCAGAGGCTATCAGCCTCTGAATCCCAGAGCCAGGAGGCAGCATCAGGGGAAGGCCTTGGCCTCTGTGCCCTGTTGTTGGCCTTGCAGGGAAACTGATTGGCCACTTTGTGAGACGGGATGCTGGACTAGATGATCTAATGGATTAGATGGTCTGATCCAGCAGGGTTCTCTTATGTTATTTTCTTTAGGTTTAGCATCCTTCCTGGCTTCATGGCCTGCAAGGCTTTGACTCTTGGCTTCCCTGAGATATCGTTGGGGGGGGGGGGTTATTGCATAAGTTGCCAACTCCCACCTGAACACAAAGGTTGGTTACCCTTTGGTCTCATCTTGAACTCCAGCATTTGACTTTGTTCCTCTTCAGCCCCAGCACCAATGCTCCCTCTAAGCTGCAGGGTCTTGTGAGCAAAAATCCTACTTTGTGAGCTGCTGGCATTAAGTTGTGAGCGAGCGACTTGGCTACTGCATAGGTTGGTTTGCTTTGGAGCCACCCTTCCTGAGCTAAGGCAAAAATGTGTGAGCCAGAGGCTAAAGAACTGTGAGCTAGCTCACACTAACTAAGCTTAGAGGGAATAGTGCCCAGCACCATTAATATTTTTCCTCTGGAACATTTTGCAGTAACATTGATACTTTATAGTTTAAAACATTACTAATCTTGAGCTGGGACCTAGAGAAGCATACAAGCATCAGCGTGCCCATCTGCCACTGTCCAGGGTACCTTACCCCCAGGGGAGAAGGGGTGGAACAGGGGCCCAGCTAGGGTTGCCAACCCGCATATGGAGCCTGGAGATCTTCTGGAATTGCTACTTATTTCCAGACAACAGAGATCAGTTTCCCTAGAGAAAATGGCTGCTTTGGAGGGATGACTCAATGGCATTATATCCCACTGAACTCCTTCACCTTCCTAAACTCTGCCCTCCTGAGGCTCCGCCCCCCCCAAAAAATATCCAGGAATTTCCCAACCTGGAGCTGGAAACCCCAGGCACAGCCCTAAGTAAGGGAGCAACTCAGCTGTGGTGCTAAGGAGAGAGCTAGTTGAGCCTGTGAGAGTGAGGGAGGAGCAGGCAGGCGGAAGGCCAACCACTGCTAGCTCCCTATGGAGTAAAGTCCTCCTCCTGGGACCAGGGTAGAAACCTCCTTGAGAGAAAGGGCCTGCTCAGGAGGAAGAGCAAGGAAACAGTGGCTGGGAGGAGCCAGGGGATGAGGGATGAAGGCCCCAGCTGAACAAGGTAGGGAAGGCAAGCTGGCTGGAAGCTGGGAAGGAGCTGTAGGTAGACAAGCTTGGAACTTTTGCAGGTTAGGGAGTGCCTACCTTCCTGGATCCTTAGAAGGTGGCATTTCTGCCCCAGAGAGAAGGCAGGGGAAATTGTTTCCCACCTGGCCCAGGCAGACCATCTTCTCAACCTTAACCCTGAAGAAAGGGTGCAGAGGCCAAGACAGGCACTCAGTGAGCTGGGAGAAGCACTTGGGCTGGGAAGGTAGCTCCAGCACCTAAGAGTGACTAAGTGGAGGTGAGGGAAGGTGAACTGGCTGAGCTACAGGGTGGTGGTTAACCAATGGAGCTGACATTGCACAGGAGCAAAGTAATTAAAATGCCATGGTTACATTTGTGGTGGCTTGACTTGTCTTTGGCACTGTGGGAAGAAGATGGCACCTTCATAGTGAGATGTGGCCCCTGGTCCTGGGGCCTTCACACTACATATCCAGCTTCTTGCCTCTAAAAAAGATTCAGCTACTGTCTTTGACTGAACTAGATGTGCAGTGCGTAAGTTTACTGCTTGTTTTCCTCAGGCAAACAAAAGGACCTTCAATAGCCAGGGGGGGTGTGTGCACTAGCTTCCCTTTCCCCCATCCCCACATTGTACTCAGAGAATAAATACGTCTTGCTGAATTTGTCCTTTGAGTCTTACTCAGTGGCTCCAGGGTTGAAGAGGAGGGGGAGCAACAAGCTCACTTTCCATCATTTGGTTCTGCACCTGGGGCTGTGAAGAGACTCTAAGGAGGTCTGGACTCACATCCTGAGAGCTCTAGAATCTACTTCCATAGAGTCCACTTTCTCACCATGGATCTGTCAAGCAAAGAGCCATACTTCTCAGGGCCCCCTCATTGTTCCAGGGGGCAGAAAGGGGGAGTTGTTGACCAGGGCTATAATAGGTTTGCTGCCACCAGTCTGAACAGTGTAGAGTGGGAAGATGTCTTTTGTCAAAGGCAGAAGTTTTCTGGCTGTTCTATTTAATACATTTTATACCTTGTATACATATTATATACTATAACTGAACAACTGTGACTGGTTCTTTTCTAGAACAGATGTTTAAAATTGTGGCTAAAACTCTAGTAAAGAAACCTGCTTCCATTATATGAATCACTTTGCAACACCTAACCAATTTGCAGCTGATGATCTCTACCCCAAGCAGTTCACAGTCTAGGAGATCCTGGATGGATTCATTAATCACAGACCTAAGTAAACAACGAGACAGTACAGCTCAATAAGACAGCCAGCAATTTAACAGCACCATCTGCCCATTCTAGGCTGCTTTAGTTGCTTTAATGGGCTTTAATTTCATTCTAATGTATCACACGAACTGCATCTGCTGCATTTTTAGGTAATGAGATGCGGCTGAGACAAATAAACTTAACCATCTATTCAGCATTGTTTAGAAACGTGTATTGTGCCAGAGAGATAATAATGGAGGGCTGCCGGAGGCTGCTTTCCCAGAGTTAGCAGAATATACACCTAATCACTGTAAACCAACTTTAAAAATAATCTGTCATAAATGATAAATCAGAATTGCCTGGATCAAACCCTCTGACAGCGTACCCATTTTTTGTATTCCTAAATCTCTGGACTGGTTCATACAAGTGCAAAGGAAATAGCCAATTCCAAATCAGAAAAACAAGCATAGGGAACATGTATAATAATATAACAGTAAGTTTTGTTGGGGTCAAGATGGTTAGACTTTATGACCTTCTGAATCTTCTGCAACCCTGAGTTCTTTGCATTGCTTTGTGTACTGACAACCTGTAATTTCTTTTCAGGGAGGCAATTAAACTACAGTCATTCATAGAAACACAGCTGTTCCTCCACACTCACACATTTTACCATCTATAATTAAGACAGATGAAGGATTAAAATATCCTCATGGTATCATTAACTTTTTAATCATTGGTGACCTGAGCAGCAAACTACCAAAAAAAAAAAAAATCCAGCTTTTTTTTTACTTAGTTTGTTCTTAAAAACAGTACTTTCCAGAAGTTACAGATGGGTGAAGGCACTTATCCCCTCC